ACCACCTAAATCCGTTGAAACAAGATAATGATCAACAGGATCAACAGGAAAATTTTAATAAAATTTTTTTTGTTTAATGATTTAAATATAATAATACTTAATACAATACTTGATATAATGCAGTAAAATTTACAAAAAATTAAAATGATAATTAATAGTCAATTATTGAGAAGTTTTTTTTGATATTTTATATATGTATGTTGATCAAATTTCTGTATTACCATGTTTTCTACTCATTTGAGTTGAAGTAATTTCTGATAATGTTCTCTTAGCATTTTTCTTTTTAAATACTGCTGCATAAGTGGATATCCATCCATGAATAGTTTGGAGTTTTGGAACCTCATTTTTGTCAATTTCATCTTCTTCTACCATATTATTTAACTTTCCCAACATAGTTTCAGCTGTATATTTTCTAGTTTTGTCAGCTTCTCCAGCTAGAAAGAAACTTTCTAATAAGCTTGTAATTTGTATGGACATATGATTACCACCATATTTCTGGTTACCTTTTAGTGCCCAGCCTTTAGAAAGTTCAAATGTTAATTCAAGTGGTTGAGCTAATAATTGAATAAGATAAGACTATTTTTTCAAATTTTATTTATATTATAAAAAAAAAAAAATTATGCTTGCATTGTGAATCAAGTGTTGATAGTGTATTTAACTCATCAACTAATATTTTATCTAATTATTCACATAACAATATTATTAGTTTATAAAAAATTTTCATTATAAGAAATACTTTATAAAAACAGATTTTATACAAACTATAATTTTGAGGGTTCCTTAGCTGTGGCATAGTCCAAATAGTTTTAGGAATTGAATGTGGAGTATTAGTTGGGGTTGGTTTTTGAATTGATGCTTTCATTAATTTAGAAATTTGAGTTGGAGAAATATCTTTCCATTGACCAATATATGGTAGTTCTCGTACTTGGATATATCCAGCTAAATCTCCATCTTTTGGCCACCTCCAATTAAACCAATTAGAAACTCCAGACAATGTCTTAACATTAACATGCTCCATTCTATTTGGTTGTAGATTGGCTATTCTTGTTCCTCGAACACCCTTGGAGGAATTTTCAATATCAGCACCACTATTCAAATCAAAACCAATCCTAATATATCTTTTTATTGCATGAGCAATCTAACATAAATTGGTAAAAATTTAATATATATCTGAAAATTTGAAATTCATTTCCACTTATTTAGTAATTCAGATAGAGATGGCTACAACAATATTTATTTCTTTATTTTTTTTAAATTTATGCAAATAAATATAGGATAACTTACAGATGCATGGTGTGAATCTATAGTGGTCTTTGCTTCTCCTGGTTCCAAAAATGTCCATTCACAAATTTCTATTCCATACCAATCATACCAATTTGTTATTATTGTCATAAGTTCTGAGCAATGATAATGTGGACCATTATCAGTAATAACTTTAATCCATTTAGGTTTTGGATCAAGTGTTTCAAATACGCAATCAAATGAAGATGCATCCTGCTTGGTATCATTAGACCAATGGTCATAGGCAGTCAGTTCCAATTCTTCTTTAGCATTTTGTGATTTAGTAAAAACTAATATTGTGTGTAGTGTCCAACCTTTTTTTCCATAGAAACTTTCTTTTGTTTCTCTTGCAGATTTTGGCAAAATTCGCATCTTGTAATCTGCCACAATAACTGCACCTTCATCATCTATTATTTCTAGTAA